TGTGCTCCCACCCCGTACTCAGCTGAGAGTTATTATTTCCGTGCTAAAACCCTAAATCTCCTTTAAAAGACTGCTGCTTTTAATTGAAAATTCTCAATCAATCTGTTCCTCCACTCTCCCCACAATCCCTGTGCTCGCACTCTCATCCCCATTTGCAGTAAATAATCTCTGGATCGGCTTCCAGCTCAAAGAAATAAATAATTTGGAATTTGCTGTATCCCATGTGATCTCTCAGCCTTAAATCACTGAATTCTGTACTGAGCTAAGACGGGAAGAAAAAAAAAAAACAGAGAGCAGCGAAGCGGAACTATTACTTAGAGACTGCAGCTGTATGGCTTCAGTGCTTATCATCACCATTTCTGGAGAAAACCATACTCTGTAGAAATGATTGTACTGCAAGCAAATCCAGGCCAGATTACTCTGGAAAACCTGCTGCATTCGTTGGATCTTTAAGATAGTTTCATGTTTTGTTCCCAGCTCTGAAACTGCTTCAGCTGTTTTGTGAATCAAACCGTCTGTTCAAGTTAATATATATTTTGCACATTTGTAATGCACATATTTTATAGGGTACAAATCTGAATTTCATTTTCAACTGAGCTCTTTCATCAGTGTTTAAATCAAACCGGTAAATCATGGTAATATTACTACCTTACCAATGGGATGTCATAGAAGGCACCTCCAGTTGCTTTCTTGTAGTGTACAGCAGGAACCTTGAAACAAAGAGTGATGGTCAATGCAAATTTTGGCCTGCTCTAGCAGTCAAGAACTGTTTCTACTTAAGTTAGTAAAGCAACTATCATAGTGTATGAAGAGTAAGGTGTGGGGAAGTTAGGGAATTTGGCATTACGGTTACAAGAGCTGTTTGATTTTGTTGTCTACAAGGAAGAAGAACCTACATTAAGGCATGTAGAAGTGTCTGATATGACATCCAACTGGTGGTCTAGTAATGCTGCTAACAAGACTACAAGAAGCCCAGCTTCAGACAGACCAGTCACCTCAATGCCCCCTGTAGCTTCCTGAAATCGGCGATGCCCAATGTGGATGGAAGCAGCCTACATGTTCTGCACCACCTGCCAGGCTGCTCCTGCTCCTTCTCACTATGTGGGACACCCTGCAATGCTAGGAAATTACATAAGCTGTCCTGTGGATCCCTGCTCTCACAGCTGCATGAATTATTTAACCCCTGTGATGACATTACTGGTGCTAAAAGAGCAGAAATGTACAGACTGAGATAAAGTAAGTAAAAAACAAGCACTGGGTGCCATTACAGAGAAAGAAAGGGAGTTATAGGTTTAGTATTATATTCTACCTGAAGAGGGGATTTAAGATGCCCATAGACATGCAATGGTGGTTGGAAAATCTGACCACCAAAAGATAATGATTTAGGGTGACTGAGCATGAAACTCCATGTTGATATCTATCAAGATGCTTATGTATTGTGGAAACACCCATTGTGCTGTCTAAATTGATTTGAGTGATCTTTCTCAACGAATGCTAAGGTAGGGAGTATCCTGATAAATGCTCAAATATTCTAAACTGGCTGAATGAGTTGACCGTTGTCTCATGTACTTTCAGGCTGCCCATACAGTTACCAGTTTGGCAGGGTGGGGAGCATAGGAGAGCTGGTACAGAATAGAGGAGGCCTTTCATTTTCATTGCTAATGAGCTGCAGTAAGAATGCTATAATCTTTATGTCTAATGTGTAATGTTGAGTACAACGGTGCTGGCAGGAAGTGATATCACTGGAGTCACTATGAGGGTATAGCTGGAACGTTTGGGAAAGTCAGCAGTGAAATGTAGGTGGAAACATACACAGAATAGTCATCTGCATCCACATGCATTGTAATAGGAGGAATTTATCAACATTGGAGCAGACAGAATCTGGAGCAGTTGCCCATGTCAACCAATCAGCATCTCTCTTCAGTTTGCTCTGGAAATATTTGAAAATGAGACAGAGAAGCTGATTGGTTGCAGTGCAAATCTGCTTCAGGTTTTGTCTGCTCCAGTTTTGATACATTTTCCTCAATATATTTTAAGTGCCCAGTGATTTAAGTGCCTAGTGACTCAGACAGACTGAGGCAACGTGTTTCCAGGACAGGAGGTACTGTGGTCAGAGGGCATCCATATACTGTAAATATATCAGAAATGAAAGCTATCTACAGGTTAAAACGCCTTGCTGCCTCAGGGGCTGCCATAGGTCTGTTGTGGATTAGAAAGAACATGCTGTGCCTGCAGGAACATTATGTACTGCAAGTCTGAGTTGAAAGATCCAGCTCTTTCATACATCAGAGGCAAGAGTAAAGCAATAACAACAGAACTGGAGAGAGTGGGGCAGCTATGCGTAGGACGGGGGTGTCACTCCTCTGGCCCTACTGATCTTATGCTGCACTTTCCTTTAGATAAATAAATAAAGCAACAGTGTGGTCATTGCCCCATAGCCCAGAATATCCTATGCAAATACCAATATTCCAAGGGGGTTATTCACGTAGGAGCCGAAGGATCCAGCTGTAGCTTTGGCTGATCCTTCGGCTCTCTTCTGCTGCCGGAGCCCTTCGGTTCAGTCGAACCGAAGGGCTTCTGTAAGGGCTATTCACAATAGCCCGTACAGCAGCCGAATGCAGCCGAGCTGGTCAGCTGAGCCGAAGGCATATGCTCCGGCTCGACTGAGCCGAAGTGACACCCAAAGCGGGGCCCACAAATGACAGCTGGGCAGAGGCAGCCGTGATCTCACAGCTGGCTCTGCTCAGTTGTAATGACAAATCAGCGTCCCCAAATGACCTGAGGACCTGTCATTAAACAAAAACAACTGGGCGGAGCTAGCCGTGACGTTACGGCCGGCTCTGCCCAGTTGTTATTCATTGGCTGGGACCTGCTAGAAGACTCAGCCGAAGTGCAGCCGAAGGCAGCCAATGTATGGCTGATTTCAGCCGATGTACGGCTGATATCAGCTGTACAAGCCAGTAGTTAACAGCAAAACAAAGTTCACTTCACTTTGGCTGGGTTATTCACTTGGCTGCCTTTGGCAGCTTTGTGAATAACCCCCTTATAAAAGTTGACAATATAATAAGCTTAGGCCTACAGATATCATTTTATGCAGTTACGTATTTGTGTTAAAAATGTTTAAATCTATTGTATTCAATTTTATTATACTCTAAATCACTCATGCGCTGCTGTATGCACATATGCTGACAAGATACTTGTTGACAGAAGGAGAGAGAAGAGATATACCTCATTAGTCTTTTGCTGCTCCTTCATTTTCCAATCACAGACAGGGGGTATAGAGCTATAAGAAACTCCAAATATGTTTGAGTTTTTAAGAATAAAAATCTTTACAAATGGCTGAATTCTACAATACAATGATTTGAAAACATATGGCTGGTCATGGATGTAATGAATGTGTTATAGAGGCTCCTTTACATTTTTATTTTGTGATTCAAAGAACTTTCATGGTCCACACATCTCAGGCTGCTGGCCATCCGAATCTCCAGACACTAAAACAAAGTGCTAGCGCCCAGGATTTCCATAAACGATATTAACTACATGAGTTAAGTAATCGGCAAGAGTCCTTCGCAAAGGTAATTAAAAATAAATCAATGTTATTGGCATGTGGGGCAGATTGCTGATTTAATAGCTAATTGAGAGCTCACCTTATGATTATTTAAAAGAATCTGCTGGAGTGCATTCTAAATGAGGAAACAAAAGACATCATAAATAAATGGCTGACAATTATGGACTGCTTGCTTTAAATTGAATGGCCAGATATAGCCAAGTCAACCCTAAAGCTTCATGGGTAAATGTGTGTTCCATGCCAAGGTCATACCTGTCAAAATGAATGAGAATGCATTGGTGAGCACCTGGTGTTTGAAGCCGGAATTTATTAAAGGGAATTTAAAGTTCCCCTGTGGCCAACAACTACCTCCCTTGGTGTGGTCACTGTTTTATCATATGGCTTATGTAAACCCAAAATCTATTTTTCAGTATGTTTAATATTTCGCCTTGCTGCAAGCAATTTTTTTGCAAATCGTTACCAATTTTCTTACCTTAAAGTGGAATTAAAGCATTTGAAATCTGGAGAGCAGAAAAGATTTGTATTGCTTCACAGTGTACACTGAGCTATGCATATGCAGCTCAGTGTATATTTTTGCATGTTGCGGTCCTTGTGTCTTCGTCACACGCACAAGAGTTAAGTCCCTTGGGCCAATCAAAATGGCCAAGGATCCTAAACCCTCAGGAAGTCAGGGAGAAGATGTCAGTGCCAGTGAAGGAGCTCACAGGCGTCACATTGCTGGAGGACAGGACACAGGTGGGTATGGATGGGATTAGTTTTGCTGTAAGATTCTGCCAGTAACCACACTTCCTGTTGCTGGCTGTCAGCACTAAACCACACGCCTAGTAGTTATCAACATTGTCAGCCTGTCATGCACATTCATTCATTTGACATTTGGGCTTCCGGGGTTGTCTAATAGATCTGATAGGCAGCCCATCATTAATAACAAGTCAGACTCTGCATTGTAATGAAAACTTGCTGATCGGAGCAGGAGGCAGAATAAGCAAAGTTATTACCTCCTAAAAAATGTTATGCTTCTTTAGTGTCCAATCAACAAGTTGAGGGGAATGGCATGTATGAGTTTTGACCAACTGTGTTTCTTAAATTCAGAGAAGAGAAGTGAGTTTACCAGCTTGCCTGTGCTTTCTGGAAGTATTTCCTGGATCACCAGATTGGCTGGGCAGAATTAGAAAACCTTTGGCAGATACATCAGTTTGCATTTATGTATTTTAACTGTATATTTAGAGTTTTGCCTGGAGGTCAGGTTTTATACTTGCGCTCAAGATGATATTATCTTTAGATAATATTGCTTAGCATTGTTTTTATATATTTTTTCAATATCCTGTGAGTATGAGTGTGCTCTGTATTATTTATTTTACACTGAATTCTAACTGACGGTGAATTTTGTTTTATGTACATGGGAATAAAAATATTCCTTAACTAACGATCTCAGATATGAAGTTTGGGAGAAATGTGGCAAGAACTTTTAAGGATTACTACCAGCTGAATGGTGAAACTGCAGGACTTCCTAGACCGCATGCCAGGTATGCAATGAATAATGTTTCCATGACAAAATAAGTAGCCTTTTCATACTGGATGCATCAGCATGCACGAGTATGTACACACGTCGATTATAGTGATGCGTAAACCCAAAATTGATGTTTTACCTATGGATGGAGAGTGATAGACTTAAGCTGGCCATACACTGCTCTAATTCAAACTCAGCCAAAATCCGAGTTGTCATGACAGCAAGAGGTGAGGACAAATCTTCAAATTGGGGCAAATGTTTCAGTGACAACTGACTGAGGTGGGTATTCCTGTCACTTCTGTTGCACCTTCAAGACAGGGAGTGAAGACATTTCTCCCTAGCAGGGCACCGAGAGCCCCAATGGGCTATCATCCCTTCTCTACACTATCCAAAACTAAAAAAATATTGGGCTATACATTCACTTTAAGATTTCCCTTAACTCAAAACATTCTTTTTAATTCATGACAAAAGGTTCAGTTGTGATCCATGACCAGCATTTACACCTTGGTGCAAAAATGCTTGAGGCTCTCTGATCTAGGTAGGATGTATATTTATATTATGCATGTAGACTTTCAGCAAGAAGAGTTTACTCTTTTTTTTTTCTTCTTTTTGCTGCTTGGACAATTTGCTATAGACAACTTGTAAGGAAATAAAACCTGAAATGTAGACTGATCGGTGAGGCATGCAGTGGTTGAATAGTCAGTCCAGAACTACAGTAATGAGCAGGGAACAATGAATAGAATATGCTGTGCACCTCACGCATACCGCCCAACCCACCTCATTCACTGATAGAGGGCACAGCGCTCAGTCTGACCCTATTTGTGGCCAGCTGTGTAAGCTGCATTTTTTTGGCATTTCAGCAGGAATTATTACTGACTGGAAAGCACTCAGATTATATGAAGTTTGTGAACATAAGAGAGTTCATAAAGAGGTTATTGGAGTTATGGAGGGCCCTGAAATTACATAGCACCTCACCAATTGTAAGAGCCATTTATAGGCTAAGTTATTGGAGTCAGGCGGATAATGAGACCTTAGCTTGTTTTTGGAGCTCTTGGTGGGATAGTTAAGCAGTACTTAATGAGGGAATGGGTCACTGAAATATAGAAGATGGCATTACAGCATGATATATCTAGGTAGATCAAGTCAATTTACAGCTATCAAACCTATACCAGGGGTCACCAAGTGGCCTCCTACAGCAATATCTTTACATTGCATATGTAATTAATGTGCAAAATGGGGGAAACCCATTGCATTCAATCAAATGTCAGTTTACCTGTATCAATCCAGTGAGAGATTAAATCTAGTTGATTACTTTGTGTTACTGCATTACAGCAGAGTGTTTTGGTTTTATTGTCAATTATTTATTTGAAGAAGAACTCTTGGCATACACAATAAGTGTAATAGAAAAGTGGGCCTGAACTCAAAAAATGAAGTTTTGCTGTTATAGGGAATAGGGCTGCAGCTAACGATTATTTTCATAATCGATTAGTTGCCCGATTATTTTTTTGACTAATCCATTGGTTGCTTTAAAAAAATCTCTCTCTTTCCTACCAATTAACCGATAATGAGAATAGTTGCCAACTATTCTCATAATTGACTATAATCGATTTAATCGATTAGTTGTTGCAGCCTAATAGGGAACATCTAGAAACTGTTGTGCCTATGCACAGGGGCATATCTACCGCAAGGCAAACAAAGCG